GTACTTACCTGGGTCAGCTAATTTTATTTCATACTGTGAATTTAATTTATGTGGAAAGAACTGCATTTCATTTACTGAAAGGCTGAACATTTTATGTTTGGGAAAAATTTAATATTTTAATATACATTTATACCACATTCTGTGTTGTGTGTTATGTGGGCTGGGGATCAATTGCTCTTGTGCTTCAGTGCTACTGCCAATCTCCTTACCCGAACCTAGTTGATCAGACGGAACCCGAGGTGAGTGAGAAGAAGGTTACAACATCGAGCAGAATTAATGATAAAATTGTATGAAACTTGAGGTGCACATGGAAGCACCGAAGCATTTACTGCTTGTAGGTCTTGAGCAAAATATTACTTGGTTGGTTGACCTTCGTCACAGATTTTCTTCACTGGAAAAAAAGGGTGTGCAGACAGGAGAATCATCGCAGGTAATGACCCTAGCCTGTAACAATAAATTAAAAACATGTTGAATACCTTCGAGCTGCTTCTTGTTTGTATATTGTATATTGCATATTGTGTGTATTGTTTGATGCAGGGGCAGAAATCAGATTTTAGGTGAACCACCAGAGTTATGGCTGCCCTTATCAGGCAAACGTCATATTTATGACGTGCCCATAATTCAGATGGCAATCCAATTCAGCCATATCTGAAAAATAATTTTTAACCATGATAACCATGGTACTGTGCAGCGTACCAGTGTCCCAAACCAGGGGGCTAAAATCAGTCAGCAACTTCTGGGCACAAACCCACATCCCCAAATTCTTCCAATGCCATTCCTCATGTTTGGCCAACAACACATACTCTAATAAGGTTTTTCATGGAATACAGCTCTTTCTTAGTCTAGCAGCAATGTCGGGTTTCATCAGACAAAGGAAATGTTGTTTTTTGAGAACATAATAGGGCTCCAATGCTCTTGCCCCAATTACACCTCAGTTACACCCAGAGGAGCAGAGTCCAGGTCTGGATCCAGCCAGAATGGATTTTTGGATTTTCGTACCTCAGTTAAAGAAGCATATAATGAGTCAGTTTTTTACTGTTTTATTGTGAATATTTCATAATAATATACTATACTTATTAATTAGTATTAATATTACTACTTACTAAAAAATACAATGTACCTCTTTGTCTTTAATAAGTAAACACATACACATAATAATGAGGTACAGTGGTTCGACCACTAATCAGAAGATCTGTGGTTTGGTGGATCGATGGTTCAGTCCCTGGCTCCCTCCAGTCCCCGAGTATCCTTAAGAAAGTACTATACCCCAAATTGCTCCCAAAGGCTGTGCCACCAGTGTGTTAGTGTGTGTGTGTGTGAATGTGCATTATTTTCTGTTTCTGACGAGCAGTTCTTCCATCAGTCCGTGTAACACCAATTAATGCGTGTTAATCAAGAATATGAAATGTAGTGTAAAGGCAGTGGTCAGAAGACTATGCAAGTCCGGCATTACTTTGCTACCTAACCTTTTGTTGTCTTCCCCTGTACTACCAGGTAATCAGTAAGTATCTTATTAATACCCTGTACCTTGTACATACTAAATAATTACAAGGGGTTTAATCAGTGTTATCAGACATTCTATAAATTCAACAGCATTTTTGAGAAAGCAAGCACCCAATTTTTAAAAATATATCCTTTTATGTGTGTGTGTTTGCAGATTGGAGCCTCTCTCATGTCCAGTAATGTTGGCAGCGGTTTGTTTATTGGTCTAGCAGGAACAGGAGCAGCTGGAGGCATCGCTGTTGGGGGATTTGAATGGAATGTAAGAAACACGGCCTGATAATGTAAATGGTAAATGGACTTGAGTGGATTGAGCACTCAATGCGCTGTACACTACATGTATACATATATATATTTAATACATATTTCTATCTATTTATGCCACACTCGCCCCGTTCGTGCACATTCATACACTGATGGCAGTGGCTGCCATGCAAGATGCTGCTCACTAGAACGGAAACTAAGCATCTGGAGCAGTATCTTGCTCAAGGACACATCGACATGCAGTGGAGGAGCCGGAGATCAAACCGCCAACCTTCCGATCAATGGACGACCCGCTCTACTTCTAAGCCACAGCCGCCCCTATGTATGATTTTGAGAACTGGGGCAGCCACTTATTCACCTCTTCTCTTTTCTTCTACCACCACATACTAGTATATAGTGGATGGTCATATGGCAGCAGTTACAGCCTTGAATTCTGAGATTAGGGTCAGGTAAGGATTTTTTTTAACTTAAAATTTCACATGTGGTCCCAATCCACTTCCGTAGAGGCCTCTAAAGCAAAAAGGCAAAATAATCTCACAACTAAAGATATTGAACCAATAGTGTCCGAGGTAGAACCAAGAAAAGGAACACTTTTGAGAAGTGTTTACAAAACTTTTCTTGGCAGTTATGTTATGGCATGTTATGTCAGTCTCTGAAGATATGCTCTTTCCTGAAGGCCTTGGCTTCAGTATCTTCCAGCAAGGCTAGATATGCCATCTCAACACCCGCTTAGTGAGCAATTGGAATCTTGTATGTGTATGTTTGTGAGCATTCTGAGTTGTGACAATCCTTTGTGCACTGAATTCAATGTTTTGACAATAAAGTAAAAAACAAGTTTAATGCCAGACAATACTGACAATGTGTTGTTGTAACTTGAATGTGTTTGAATGTGATTGTGCAGGCAGTGTGGGTCCTGGTGGCTCTGGGTTGGATCTTTATCCCTGTCTACATTTCTGCTGGTGTGGTGACCATGCCTGAATACCTGGCCAAACGCTTTGGAGGCCAGAGGATACGCATATATATGTCTATTTTGTCACTCATCCTCTACATCTTCACCAAAATATCTGTAAGACACACACACACAGTTACATTCATTTATTTGACAGACTCTTATTTCCAAAGCTACCCTAAGTGTGTATATATCTATAAATAAATGTGTGTGTATGTTACCCAGACAGATATCTTTTCGGGGGCAATGTTCATCCAGGTGTCACTGGGCTGGGATCTCTATCTGTCCACAGGCACATTGCTGCTGGTCACTGCTGTTTACACAGTGGCAGGTAATCACAAACACAAACACACACATGTAATAAATAATTACTAGAATGTATTTTTTTTTTAAAACAAAAAGTAATAAAAAAAGGGGGG